ATGTTGTTTTCTCTTGGGGTGGGGGTGGTGTGTGTGTGTGTGTGTGTGTGTGTGTGTGTGGTGTTTTCAGTAAGTTCTCGCTGTGCTGTGATCCTCTGTGACTTAGCTTCTTGAGTAATTAGGACCACAGGAAGGTACCCCCATTCCTGGCTCTCTCAGACAGGATGTTGCTACATCGCTCGGGCTCACGTTGGTCATGAACCTGCAGCTCTCCTGTCTCAATCTCCTGAGTGGCTGGGACCACAGCACAAACTGCCACGCCCAGCTTCTTAAGGTGGGCTGAGACTAAACCTGGGGCTCGCCTATGTGACCTCAGCCTGCCAAACAGCAGTGCCCAGGGTATGCTATAGCAGCTGGGCCTAAAATTAAAATTTCCTGAAGGACGAGAAACGTCATAAACCTAATAGAAAGACAAGCCATGCAGGGAGAGGAGATAGGTGCAATGCTGGTAACTAAACAAGAGAGTAGTATACAGAATATGTAAAGAACATCTACAAGCTAAAAAAAAGGTATCTTGGGTTAAAAAAAAATGGGAGAAAGTCATCAGCAAATAATGTACAGAAGAGAAACAGAAATGGTAAAGAAACACTCATATATAGAGAGACGTGCTTACTGTCACGAGCAATCAGTATATGCAGATTACACAAGCAAAATAAATGAGTTATCATTTCACCTTTATAGATGACATAAAAATGTCAAATCTGACAGTACCAAGAGTTGATGATATTGTATGGAAATTAGAACTTATATATGCTGCTAGTAGTTAAATTGGTACAACCGGGACCTGCGGATGGCATAATGGTTGTGTTGCTGGACTCCCACATAATCGACTACAGTTCAAGTCCCGCAACCAGCAGCTTAAAACTCACACTAAGGGGGACCAGCAGTTAGCGTAATGGCTATGTCGCTGGACTCCCATGTAGTCGACCACAGTTCGAGTCCCGGACCCGGTGGCTTAAAACTCACGCCGGGCGTGTGTGCGTGCGTGCCCAAGATCCCGAGAGGAGAATGGAGCAGAAGGGATTGTGGCGTGGCCATCCCCCCGGGGAGTGATTTCTCACTTTCTGTCTCTATGTCTCTCTCTGTCTGTCTGGTGAGCGCACGTGCCCTATCGCAAAAACCTCTCAAAACAAAACAAAACAAAACAAAACAAAACAAAAACCCTCACACCAAGGGCGTGTGTATGCAAGCCCGAGATCCTGAGAGGAGAATGGAGGAGAAGGGATTGCGGTGTGCTATAGCAAAATTCTCTCTCTTAAAAAAAAAATAAAAAGTTGATATCACCATTTTGGAGAGTGATTTAGCTAAATCTAGCAAAGTTGATGTACGCGTACCCTACAATGATATACACTGGGCATGGAGCTGTCACAGGGTGTGCACTGCAGTGCTGTTTATAACCACCACACAGCTCTATCAGTACAAAGGCTAACCAAATGGTGGTATCATTTTAAGGGAATACAGCGGCTTGAAGAAAGTCAAGAGACCTAGCCCCGGTTCTTGTTCTGCTTCTAACTGATGATGGGACTTTACATCAGTTACTTTTCTTTCTTTCTTTTTATTTATTTATTTTTTTTTTTGGAGAGGTTTTTGCCATAGGGCACGTGCACTCATCAGACAGACAGAGAGAGACAGAGAGACAGAAAGTGAGAAATCATCCCCCAGGGGGGATGGCCACGCCGCAATCCCTTCTCCTCCATTCTCCTCTAGGGATCCTGGGCACGCACGCACACGCGCCCGGCTTGCATTTAAGCCACCGGGTTTGGGACTCGAACTGCAGTGGACTACATGGGAGTCCAGCGACATAGCCATTACGCCAACTGCTGGTCCACATAAGTCACTTTTCTTTCCACATGGAATGCCCTCTCTAAGACAGTCTTGGACTCATCCCCTCACCCCATCGGGCCTATGTGCAAATTCCATCTGTTCAGAGAGACTCCTCTGGTGTGCTATGCATACCACCAGCATCCCCACTCCCGTGACATTGCCTTGGCAAGAAGCAGGGACTAGCTAGGGTAGGTTTAAATGCCAGCTTCATTAAGCACTATCTGTTTTTACCTAAGCAAGTTACACAGGCTTTCTGAGACTCAGTTTCCTCCTCTATAAAATGGGGATGATAGCAGTTTTTACCTCGATAATTGCTATGAGGACCGAAGGAGTTAATACACCAAAGAGCTAAGACAGTGTCTGGTATAAAGGAGTGCCGATTAGTAGCGAGTTACAAGGCAGTAAACAGGGACGAAGCCGGCTGCGTGACATGGCTAAGTCTCATAAACACGCTCCTGAGCACAAGGCGCGAGTCCCACCACACCTCACCTTTCCCTGAACTTCTGCCATAATTGCGAAGTTCACAGACGACGCCCACAGGTAGGAGTCTTTTTGCAGATTTGTTCCCCTCTGGCTGTCCATGCCTGTCCCAGCTTGGCCAAGCAGATTTTCAACAGTATTTAACCAGTTGAATGAACTGAATTCGTTCTGGAAAGTTTTTGAATGCAGAGGGTGAAGACCCTATTGGCTTGCCAGATGGTATATTTTAAGAAGCTGAAATAAAGAAAGGATGAGGGTAGGGGTGACAGAGGAGGTGAGCAAAGTGGGCAACTGGAAAGGCAGAGAGAATCCGGGAGCCAGAGCAGGAATTCTGTGACTGCAGGATAGGAAGGATAGGGAGGGAGGTTGTTATCACAGGTCCCTTTTTGAAGGCCTGGTTCACGGTCCATTGGGGACAGAGGGGACTCTCTGTGAGAAAAGATCTGGAAGTATCTAGTCAGAGCCCTCAGCAGGGGCTCGGGGAGGGGAAGGGGCTGGGGATGGCATAGGGGGTGGAGGCTTGCTTTCTACTCTACGGGCTTTTCTCCACACACGTTCATGGTGTTTGGATTTTGTCCAGTGAGAAATAATTGATTAAAAAGAAAAAAATGACGTTGCACACAAGAGATACTCGGGAATGGGCCTTACTGTGATTCTTTAAACAAAGACTCTCCACCCAGCACAGAGGCCCCAGGCAGGAAGGCAGCCTGCCGTGCAGGGATCAGGCTGCTGTCCACGGCCTCTTCCTCCTCACAGGCACAGCCAGCCCCTCCACGAGTCCCAGGCCTGCCCTTCCAACTGTGCCCCGAGTTCAGTCTTCTCGCCGTCCTCACCACCAGTCACCTGCCACACTCCTCCCCTACCTGGTTTCTACCTTGCCCCCTTCAGCCTGCTCTGTGCAGCAATCGGGAGCCTTAAAAACCCAAACCAGGCCGCTGACACATTTGGACCGCTCGCAGGGTGCTGGGTGCCGCTACAAGGGGCTCACTTGGCTCACTCAGTCAGTCCCCACAACCCCGGAAATGAGCCACTATCTGGATCTCCTTTGTGCAGATGAAGAAACTGAGGCTCACGAGGGTCAATAACTGCCCCCCCACCCCCACTCTGTCCACATGATGAAACGGCAGCGCCAGGACCCAGTCTGTGGAGCACATGTCGCCTCCACCCTGCAACGTCCCAGTGTGCCTCAGCGCGGTGGCCACCAGGCCCACGTGACCTGGACCCGCCTCGACGTCAGCTCCCACCACCCTCCCTGCATCATCTCTGCAGCTCCACGGGCGCACGCGCGCACACTCACACAAACACACACTTTTTTTTTGGCTAGAGGTTTTATGCTCTCGCCAGAGAGAGACAGAGAAGCAGAAAGGGGGAGGAGAAAGCACTCCCCAGTGGGGTGTGGTCACGCTGCAATCCCATACCCTCCAGTTCTCCATTCTTTTAGGATTTGGGCTGTGCACGCACATGTACCTGGTGTGTTTTTCATGTCACCAGGCTGGGGTTCGAACAGCGCGATCGACCACGTGGGATCCAACTCCCTTAACCACCAGGCCACAGAGCAAGCCCCTTTCTCTTTAGAGATCTTTAGACGGCTTGTTATTCCGATCTCTGCTTGACTCACCTCCTCAGGAAGGGCCCTCCAACCACTTTTCTAAAACAGCCCCCACTCTAGTCCGTGCCCTCCCTGCTGTAATTGTCTAGATGGAGTTTATCGCTTCCTGACTGTACTCTAGAGCATTCCTTGTCTAAATCTTTGTTCCTCTCTCTACTCTAGAATTTCTGTTCCACAAGGCAGAGACTGTCCCCAGTGCCTGGAACAGAGCCTGGCCCCCAGGAGGAGCGTGGTGAATGCATAAATGCCCCCAAGGCAGCCTCATGTGGCTGGGCCTGTTCTTTGGGGCTTCTCCCTCTGGGGCAGCCGGTGGTCCTTTGCTTCTCCCTGGGCCCCAGAGCAGCAGGGCGGAAGGTGCAGTGAGATGCAGCTCCTTCCTGCTCGCTCTTCCAGCCTGGGGGTTCTCGTCTTTCTGACCACTGGAAGCCAGTCCACTGACCTGCCTCACCACAGTGATTAGGACTGGAAGTGCTGTCCCTCCTGCAGCCGTGTCCTTTCTTAAAAAAGGTTTTTGCCGTACAGTGTGTGCACTCTCCAGAGAGAGACAGAAGAAGGAAAGTGAGAAATCACCCTCCACAGCAGATAGCCATGCTGCGATCCCTTTCCTCCACTCCCCTGGGATTTTGGACACACATATACACATGCACGATTTTCAAGTTTGCTACTTGGGACTTGAACAGTGGTTGGCCATGTGGGAGTCCAGCACCTTAGCCACTATGCCCCCTGCTGGCCCCAGAGCATGTGCATTTTAAAGGAGACCCTGCCTAACCTAACCTAACCTAACCCTTGCGACTGTCTGTGCTGTGGTAGATCCTCCCACACCCGGGTGTGTGTGGGAGAGCCCGCCCTCCCCTCCCCAGGCCCTGGGAGATCTCAGACAGGGGCACTGAGGGAGAGGCAGAGATGGGTCGAGCTCAGAGGGCCCTGACTGAGCCCTGGCAGACCCCGACCTTCAGAGCTCACCTGCTCGCTGTATCCAAGACACCTCTTCCTCTCCTGCCACCCCAGCCTGGCTTTCCAAGCTTCCTCGCCCTCTCCTTTGCGAAGCCCCTCCTGAGACTCCCCTGGAGCCCAGAACAAGCCTTACCCATTTCAATCCCGCAGACGGCCAGGGCCGCGATCACCGCCCCCGCAGAGGTCCCTGCGAAGCGGTGGGCCGTTTCCAGCATGCGGGGCGCCAGGTCCCGCAGGGCGTCCACCGCCCCGGCCTGGTAGAAGGAGAGGAATCCGCTGCCCGAGAAGGAGATGGAGTGAGGAGTGTCCGGGTCCCCCTTGAACACCTGCTCATCCATCTTCTCAGCCTCTGGCCTCCTGCAGGGAGGAGGGGCGGCCCTTCAGCACCTGCCTGCCCAGCCGGGCCTGCCGCTCCCTGTTGGAACTCGCAGCAGAGCTCCCTGCCTGTCTCAGCGCGGGCTTGGGGCACCCACGGGTGTTCCGGCTCCGCCGCCTGGCCTGGGGCGCTCCACCAGGAAGCCCTGAGGTAGATGAGGGGCCTTGGGCCCAGGGCGGTGTGCAGAAGGTCCCCTGGAATATGCAAGCGGGGTCTGGGTGCTGGGAGCCCCTCGCCGGCTTCATTGCTTGGCTAGCTTCATCTCAGGCGTAGGCTCCTCCGCCCCCCCATCCTGTACACCTGGGAGGTTCAGGACTCCCAAAGAGGCGGGCCCTGCTCAGCCTCGGCCCAGAGGCTCCGCACATCCAATTACAAACGCTGGGAAGGCTGTTGCGGTGCCTCCTTCCTGACCAGGAGACTAACCCTCCTCCCAGAGGCCGGGCTGCTGCGAGTCCTGGCTTCTCAAGGGGACGCATGTCACCCACGTTTCCCAGCGGAGCCCCTCCCAGCCCTCCAGGCTGTGTGATGTGTTACAGAATTATTTTTATTTGTTCTTAATAAGCACCTGTTTGTTTATTCACTTGTTTGCTTGTTTACATGTTAGGATTGGCCATGGGCAAAATTGTGAACCAAGAGGAATTTGGTTTGGGGGGCCTTGCCCTCCACCCCTCCACCTGTCCCCCTCTCTCCTAGGTCCTTCAGTGGCCCTCTGACCCTTAGTCAGCATCCTCTCACCAAACCCCAAAACCTCGTGCTGCCTCCTAAGTGAAAAGAAATCAATCTGAAATCCAGATTATCCTAAGTCATTCTAAGTGTTTAGGGCTTCATGTTCTAGACTCTTAAATATTTACCGCAAGGGTGGACAGCTTGGGAGGTCCGAAGTAGGGGCACCATTTGGAGAGAGGGATGTTTTGATTAGGGAAGGCACAACGGGATCAGGGTTAGTGCAAAGTGCTGCCATCACAGCCTCCGTGGAGCCCCCGCGAGGAGGACTTTCCTCACCACACACAGACTTGACTATATGAGGATATCGCAAAGCAACGACACGACAAGATCGTGTCTCCCCATTGCCCCCCAAGGACCACACAGGGGCAAAAATCAGGATTAGGATACAGACACCAACTCACCCGCCTGGCACCCAATCCTGCCCCATCCTCTCTGCTTAGGACGGGACCTCAGCGGTTTCACTGGGCCTGGAAGCTCCTGCCAACTCTGGTGGCCTCGCTGGTCCATAGAAGAATTCCACAATGAGGACAATACCAGGGATCCAGTCTGGGGAGGGATTTTCTGTCCTGAAAGTAGTTCTAGAAATATATTTGCCTCGGGATCAGCACTTGGTGAAATGGCTATGTCACTGGACTCCCATGTAGTCAACCACAGTTCGAGTCCCGGATCTGGTGACTTAAACTCACGCTGGGGCACATGTGCGTGCATGCCCAAGATCCCGAGAGGAGAATGGAAGAGAAGGGATTGCAGCGTGGTCATCCCCCCGGGGGGTGATTTCTCGCTTTCTGTCTCTCTTTCTCTCTGTCTTTCTGGCAAGCGCACGCACCCTATAGCAAAAACCTCTACAAAAAAAGAAAAAGAAGAAGAAGAAGAAAGAAAGAAAGAAAGAAAGAGAAAAAACAGAAAGAAATATATTTGCTTCAGTTTGGAAAGAGAGCTTTGGATTAGAAGTACGTGCAGCAGAGAACATGCGTGTAGCACTTACCGGCGTCCGCGCCCAGAGATATGGGTGTCGGATGGCGGTGGTCGGGGCGGCATGCCAGCTTTTTGGAACAGCAGAAGCCCTGTCTCCTTCCTGGGAAGCCAGGTCCACTCCACCAAGCCCTTGAGTGCCCTGCTCTGTGTGGGAACGCTGGGGATTGGAGTAAGAAGCTCCAGAGCCTCACTCAGACCCTCAAGAGCTTCTTAAAAATACGACAGGCAGCTGTGAAGTAACCAGAGAACTGTGTGAGATGGTCTGTAACGAGCTACTAGATGGTGCAGGGCGGAGATCCCTGCCAGAAAAGTTAATCGGCAAGGCTGAGCGGTGTGGACCAGAACCACGAGAAGAGCCAAGAGGTGGCTCCGTGGCTGGGGGATTTAAAGGCGCTGGGAGAGGGGGGCGAACTCCTTACACAGGAAGGAAGAGGTGTGGCAGGGTCAGTTTCACAGGATGAGGGGCTTTGGATCAGACAGACATGCTGTTGAATCCCTGCTCTGCTACTTACAGGCAGCGTGACCTGTGGCATCTCTCTGAGCCTCAGTTTTCCCCTCGGTAACAAGGACAAGAATTCCCAAGGAGCACAGGGTGTAGGCGTAAAGGTAATGACTGTAAAATGCGTGGCTCGTGGTGTGTCTATCGTTACCAGAAGCTAGTGGGGCCGGCAGGTGGCGTGGTGGTTAAGGGCGCTGGACCCCCCATGGCCAACCATGGTTTGAGTCCCTGACATGGAGGCTTGTTTACTCACTCTCTCCCTCTTCTCTCTTTCTCTCTCTCTCTCTCTGGTCAAATTAAAATAAAAAAAAAATAATAAAAAACAAAGTTCAATAAAATAATAATAAAATAATTAGTAAAAAAAAAAAAAAGAAAGGAGTAAGGGCCAAGGCTATGGAACGGGTGGACCCTGGAGACAAGGTACAATAGAAAGGTGGGGCCTTTTATTATTAATATTATTATTTATACATTTGATCACTGTACATCATTTGACTCGCAAAGAGAATTTACACAACATGAAATGTACCTCAGACCAGTCCGGTTGGGAATACTATACACGTCATCATCACCAGGTAATTCACCATTCCTGTGTCCCATCAAGGTCTTGCCTATTCCCCTCCCCCCCTCCCCCCAGTTTCCTCCCCTATACTCTCCCCTTCTCAAAAGGTGGGGAGGATTTGATCTATGCGCAACTGCAGGAGGAGCTTGGGGAGTTCTCCGGCTGAAGTCTCAGAAGGAGATGAGGTCAGGAGAGGAGATTCAGGAGGATGAGGAAGCAGGACGGTGGCCCATCCTCCGAAGGATGATGGCGGCCAGGCTAGGGTGGCAGCTGAAGGAATACACCTTAATGACACTATTGCCACAGACGACTCTTGGGACCCGCAGACTGGTTGGATGGGCAGGGTGAGTCACCAGCCAAGGTCTTGTTTTCAGCCTGGGGGTTGGGAGGGGTAGGGCTGTCTATCTATTACAGACTTGGAAACTGGGACAAACCTGGGGAAACTGGGTGGAGGATGATTTTACTTTAAAATGTGTCAGAGATGACAACACAACATCCAACGCTGTCCACAGGGTCAGAGTCAGCTCCAGAGAAGGGGACAGAGACCTGCCATTGAGGCGACAGAGAAGAGTGAGCAGGGGGAGGTGAGCACAGGGTCATGTGAAAGAGAACTGAGTGAACAAGTTTCTACTTCCAGGTCATCTTAACATTCCTAGTTTGAAAGGAAGCAAGGCCACCTGCCCTGCAGGGGCTGCAGGGCCCCAGGAGGCTGGGGCCCACCTCTTTCGAGACAGTGTTTCATCCCAACACGGCCCTCGGTGTCCTGCTTCTCAGGCCTGACTGGCTGGCTGTCTTTGATGAACACTCAGAAACAGTTCCATAGGGACAGGGGAGACAACGTCAGTGCAGTGCAGCTTCTGTGCAACAAGAAACTATTCATAGAAATTCACAATTGCAGGACCAGCAGATGGCGTAATGGTTACATCACTGGGCTCCCATGTAGTCAACTGCGGTTGGAGTCCCGGGACCGGTGGCTTAAAATTCACACCAGGGGCATGTGTGTGCGTGCATGCATGCCCAAAGTCCCAAGAGGAGAATGAAGGAGAAGGGACTGTAGCATGGTCATTCCCCTGGGGGTGATTTCTCACTTACTGTCTTTCTCTCTCTCTCTGTCTCTCTGATGAGCACATGCACCCTACAGCAAAAATCTCTCTCTCAAAAAAAAAAAAAAAGGGGG